CCCCCGATCTGCCCTGGGACCCCCGAGCCGCCCTGGGACCCGCCGAGCTGCCCTGGCAGGCTGCGCTGAGCTCACGCTATCTGCACCTGCCTGTGCTGCGTCTCAGCGGTTTAAAGGGGACACTAAGACGTGTGAGACTCTCTGGTGTTTGTAAATTGAATATGTGCCTCCTTTCTTTGTGCTGGGGAAACGATTAGCCCTCCCGAAGAGCCTCTTAATGTCCAATCTAACTCCTGTGTGATACAGGATGTAAAGCTTATTTATCAGTTAAAAAAATCTATCAGCGTTGCTTTCAGAACACCTTTCTTATTTAGGGAGTGGAGAGAGATGAGGTGTGTTCGTTCTATTCCAGAACAGAATCCCCTCAAATAAGTGTAGTGAAAGAATATGTTAATTACATTTTTTTCACCCAATGTTGATTAAATGGGGTGGGAGAGAGTGTAGAAATTATGGAGCCTATGTTGATTAAATGGGGTGGGAGAGAGTCTAGAAATTATGGTAGCAATGGTAGACCTTTAAAAGAATGTAAGTCTAAAAAGTTTTTAAAAACCCCATTTAATTCAGCCCTTCTCATTATCATTCTGTGTATCCCATACATGCATTTACCATGATTTTGAGTTAATCTAGTGCCAGTTCAGTGACACTTGTGGGTTCAGAACCTGCAGGTGCAGCTCAAATTCTTCAGGCAGCTCTTCAATCCTCTGTGAACACAAGCAGGAATAATACCTTGGCTCCAGGCAGGCCTGCTCCCAAAAAGTTCAGGCAAACCCAGAAACTCTTCCTTGAAAAATACAAATTTAGAGTATAAAACATGTGCTAAGGGCTGGTGCAGCGTGGGAGGTGTCCGAGCGAGTATCTCACTCAGACATGTGCTACCCAGAGCTGTTTGCCATGGGGCTGAGCTGAATCCTGGCACTCTGCCTGGGAAATAAACTGCAGCTCTGATATGTTTGAAGGATGTGGTTTGACAGTGGGCTAATCCTCCTTTTCAGAGCATTGCCGAGGTGTTCCGATGTTTTATTTGTATGGAGAAGCTGCGGGATGCACGGCTCTGCCCTCACTGCTCCAAGCTCTGCTGCTTCAGCTGCATCAGGGTGAGTTGGCTTATGGTTCATTCCTGCAAATGTGTGAACTGAAAACCCACTGATCCTACAAAAACATTCTTGTTCCTCTTCCTGCGATTCCAAGGATTCCTTTCTCCTCCTCTGCACTCCTTCGTTTCCCTTTCAGAACCTTTTATAACACCCTGAGGAAGAACTAGGCAGGCTGTGCATTGTGTTCAGTGCTGCTAATTATAGGGACCATCTGGAGTAATTGCTTTTCAGAAGCAGACATGGCATGATCCCTTCTCTAGCATCTCCTGAGAGCCAGTGATGCCTGGGTGGAAGGCAGAAGTTGGGACAGGAATCACATGCTGACTTTGCATCTGTCAGTGTGTAGCACTGGAAGGTCATAACATTACCTCTTGTATCCTGGAGGTGTTTTATAAGACTTAGCAGACTAGTGGGATATGGTCAGATGAGGCTAAATATTTGTCAGAGGAGTCTGAAGCAGCAAATAAATGAATCTCTATCTTTATTACACATTGCCCAGGGAGGCTGTGGCTGCCCCAACCCTGGCAGTGTTCACAGCCAGGTTGGATGAGCCTTGAGCAACCTGCTCTGGCAGGAGATGTCCTTGCCCAGGGCAGGGGGTTGGAACTGGATGATCTCTAAGATCCATTCCAACCCCTAAGATTCTATGATTCTCTGATTAAGGTCATGTATATAGAAGTATGTATATACACACCAATGTATAACCCTTCATTCCCAAGTTCAGACACTTTCAGGTGGTGGTGTAGCAGGAAGAGGGTTCAGCTGAGGTTTCCAGACCTCCAGTAGTATTTCCAGAAACTGGAACACAGATTCTTCCTTCTCTCTGAAGGCTCTGACAAGAACTGTGGGTGAAGGATCTGTGGTGCATATTAAGACTGTTGGATGACATATTGTTGCTGGGTGGTGAGAGATTATTCATGAAGATCTTTAAATGGAGTAGTGAGCTGACAAATATAAGCCTGTCAACTGCTGAGCTTTTACACTTGGAGTGGGCAGGTGAAATTCTTTGCTCAGCTGCTTCTCTCTGGAGCTTTCTGGAAGAGAAACATCCCCAGGGTCCTTGTGGATTTGATCACTGAACTGCAGGTATCTAATTTGCCTATAAATAGTTTGAGAGGAAGAAAGAAGTTACCTTGAAGACTAATTAGAGTCTGGAAAATATGCTTGTTATGTCTTTTGTTTCCTTTATTGAGGGATTATTCCTCTCTAGTCTAAGACTACAGGAATCTGCCAGGTGGGTGGTTTCTGATGCAATATTTGGTACCTCAGAATTCTCTGTATAAATTTAACTGAAGCATCTCTGACATCTAAAGCAAAGTGGTTGCTTGTTACTAAGCTACAAATAGCAGCTTCTTCTCTGACTAAGTGGTTGAACAGTTAAATTAAAAATCTATCAAAGGGAAAAGACATAGGAAGACCATAATGAAAATAAGTAACACCTAATCAATGACAGAATGTACTTCCCTGCAGTTCATTTCTTACAGTCTCTTTAAAAATGCTTTTCTTTTTTCCATCCCAGCGTTGGCTGACTGAACAAAGAGCTCAGTGCCCTCATTGCAGGTAAGGTATTCTTAATAGCAGAAAGGAATGATCAGGGATTGGGTGTTACAGTTAAGCCTTTTTTCAGTGCAGGTTGCACTAAATTTGTAAGCTTGATTTCTTTGGGACCTGCCTACTGTTACTAGAAAAATTGGCCCTGGTATAATGCTTACTTTAAAATATGTTCCAATTTGTGACAAGCTGAGCAAGATCTTTGTGCCTTCTGTATATCACTTGCTGTTTCCAGTGCAATTGATGTAATAAGAGTGACTAGATGAAATTTCTCTTTACATTTTTTATTAATAGCAGAAAATTCAGTTTTCAGATTGAAATGTGTCCGTTTTTTACCCCTCTAATTTCTGTGCCATATCCATGTAGGTGTTCTGTCTCATTGTGGGGCAGTTCCTTGTGGATTCTGTCTCTCCTCAGCCCCAAGTGAGCAAATTGACTTAAAACTTCTTTTTATCTGAAATAACTAGTGCAGCTTCTGCTGTTCTTGCTTTGTGACTCTCCTGGAAGTGTAGAATTGATGGACTGAATTCACTTCAGTGCTTCTCCTTTAGCTCCTGAAGCCAAATTCTTGCTCTAACTGTTCCCTGCTTCTTGCAGAGCTCCACTGCAGCTACGAGAGCTCGTCAACTGTCGCTGGGCAGAGGAGGTCACACAGCAGCTTGATACACTTCAACTGTGCAACCTCACAAAGCATGAAGAGAATGAAAAGGACAAGTAAATGGAGTGTTCTCTGCATGGTGTTTTGTGATTTTCTTCACAGGAGTGGGATTTTGGTTGGGGAACTTGCTGAAAAGCTGAGTTGTGCTCACTGACTGCAAGTTGGGAGTTAATTTCTGTCACACGTGAAACAAGAAAAGCTCCTCAGTGTCTTTGCCTAGAAATCTGCTACTAATTCTAGTTTGACTCAATATAGTAGCAAAACAAGTGAAAATATTGAGTTTGTGGGAAATTCATAGCTGCTTTCTGTTGATATGTCTATTATTTTTGTTTGTTTAAGGTGTGAAAATCATCATGAAAAGCTCAGTGTGTTCTGCTGGACCTGCAAGAAGTGTATCTGCCACCAGTGTGCACTTTGGGGAGGAATGGTAAGGGGAGACTTGTTTCTGTGCACCCAGTGTGCTGCAGTGTTGGACAGCAGTTTTGAGGAACTAGAAATGCTTCAAAACTCTTGTTGTGGCTGTGGATTGCCATGCAAATACTGGAGCTGTGTGTGGATTTCCAGTTCAGTAACATTGGCTGGGAAATGTGATGCTTCCTGTTTGCAATTAGAGAAGGATTTTTGCCAAAAGGAGGTCAGAATTACCTTTCCTGTTTTAAAGCTTCATGATGTCTTGAACAAATGAGATGGTGGGGAGAGTTGTATGGTCAAAGCAAGAAATCTTTCTCAGAAAATACAGATAACAGTTCTTTAATTGTCCTTGGCCTGTAGTCCTGAATATCTTCAAAGCTGTATTAGTGGCACAATTCATCACAGTGTTTATCCATTCAGTTGCATATTTCAAGGAGAAACAGCTGTTTCTGTTTGGAATATAAGTGGTTAACAGTGTGTTGCCTTTGGATAATAATAATAATCAAAATAAACCTTGTGTGGTTATTTGATTTGTTAGAGGATTGAATGAAGCAGTTTATTTTTGGAGGACTGTTGAGACTCCAAATAACTCTTGACAGGAAGCTCTGATGGCATGAAAGCCAAATTCCTGACTTCTTAGGGAGGGAAGTGAAAGACAGACTTCCTACATACAATCTGCTTTGGAACCTTTCCAGAATGAGTGGTACACTAGGAGCTTTCTTCCCCTCTCTTTCAGTAATTTAATAGGAGTGGAATACAGTTAAAAAGAGATGCTCTATTATCCACCACCTCCTCCTCCCCCTTTTTCTCTCTGAACAGCATGGAGGACACACTTTTAAGCCACTGGCAGAAATCTACGAGCAACACGTCACAAAAGTGAACGAAGAAGTGGCAAAGCTTAGGAGAAGACTCATGGAATTGATCAGTCTGGTGCAGGAAGTGGTAAGAAAGTTTTCCTGTAGTACTTCATTGGTAAAGGATAACTGCAGAGTGGGAATTTGAAGTAGTACAATGTGTCTTGTTCGTGGTGTTTTCAGTGCCTGTTAGAAGCTGTTGCTCCCATGAAGGTGGTGAGATCTTCTTCATCCCACAGAGAGATGTTTTCATTTTTTTACTTAACACTCTTTTTATGCAATGTGGAAAGATCAAAACCAGAATTGAGAGTATTTTGTGGCTGCTAGAGGTTAGACAGTGGAGTTTTTCCTCTGGTGTGTACCATTTAAAAGCAGGAGTTGCACAGTCCTTCGAAACATGTTTTTGTCAACACTTACAGAAGTGTAATCTGCCCCACCAAACAACCATAGAAATACTTTATTCTATCAGACCTCATTTTCCTTTCTCTAGGAGAATAAGTATATCTGAGCCTGCAGGATGGGCTGTAAAGCAGCTCACTTGTTAGAGAGTTGTTTGTCTATCTCCTTTTCCTTCCCCATGGGGTAAATGTGTCAGACATTTGAAATATTGACACATTCAGCTTTGGCAGTTTCAGTGGAATACCAGCAGCCCAATACAGTTCCTTGTATCCCAAGAAGGCTTATTTTTGTGTTCTGCTGATTGCTGTTAGGTTTACTGTCTGTAGTCTTTGTGCAAATAAAACCAGGTTGTTTTTTTTGAACAAGTTTCTGTATGATTTTTGCCTGTGCTGTTGTTCAGATAGTTGTTTGCCACGTGCAGTGGTGGGTGAGCTCTGCTCCAGCTCAGATGTGACTGTTCTAGCACCACATGGGCCACTTGTGTTTGTAAAATACTGAGAGTTTGTGGCCTTTACTTGCCAGAGAGAAGGACACCACTTCATCCCATTATTCCTGTTATCATAGAGGTGACATTTCTGTGCTGCTCAAGGCACCGAAGAGAAACAAATTGCATTTTCCAAACTTTGATACCAAAGAATCCCCATATGACAAATCCCTGTGTGCTGAGAAAGTGTTGCTCAGCTTCCCTGTTAACCCTTGGGCACCCACCAGAGGGCACGCTGATGGATCCAGTGGAATCCTGGATGCACCAGGGATAGCCTGGAATGCAGCTCATGGAAAACCCTCCTGTCGTCTCACTCCAAACACACAGGTTTAAGCAGGATTTGTGTTCCTCCTAGGGCTGGAGGGGGCTCCAGGGAGACTCAGTGGAGCTGAGAGAGGGAATCAGTGTGTGAGTGAGAAATGTCAGTGTGTGAAGGCTCTGTGTTTGTACCTGTTTCTCCTGGCCCTGTTGCAGGAGAGGAATGTGGAGGCTGTTCGCAGCGCCAAGGACGAGCGCGTGCGCGAGATCAGGAACGCGGTGGAGATGATGATCGCTCGCTTGGACACTCAGCTCAAGAATAAGCTGATAACACTGATGGGTAGGTGTTGGCCTGGGCTGTTGTGAGTAGGAGCAGTAAATGAACAATGTGTAAATCCATTGAGAAACTTTCCTGCCCTGGGAGTGAGACTCTTTACGCAGTTTACGGTGTTAACTGCTGGCAGAAAACTTCCAACTACAACAAAGCTTTTGGTTGATCACAGGATTGTTAAGGTTGGAAAAGACCTCTGAGATCATTGCGTCCAGCCTATGATCTAACACTACCATGGCACTAAGTAGTCTTTCCTTAAACACCTCCAGGGATGGTGACTCCACCACCTCCCTGGGCAACGCATTCCAATAGACATTCACCCTGTCAATCACCCTTCATGTAGTTCCTGTTCTAAGCTGTTAGACATAACCTGGTTATGTTCTGTTAGAAACTCTTCTTTAACAACTTAAAGAACATTTCCATCTAGTTGGAAGATGTTTAGTACCTTTCAACTAAAACGTTTTTACGCCGTCTTTTATGTTAGTCAGTAAGTCCCATTTGTAATTTGAGATTTTTGTAGCCTATACTCCTTTTAAATGTAATATTAAAAAAAATTGGAAGTCCATATGACGTGTCAGGTGAGCAGCAGCAAATGGAGAGCATGGCATCTGAAATCAGAGCTGCTAGTTTGGTTCTTGACACTTTTGCTGTCTGGGGACTGGTCACTTTACCTCTCCTTTGGTACAAGTGAAGCTGAGAAGGCAGTTGGTACATTTACAGGTGTCAGCTAATATGAAAGGCTTGTCTAAGAGTGAATTCAGTGCAGTTAAAACTGCTTTTTTTTTTTTTTTTTGGTCCAAAAAAGCCCCCAAAACAACAAACCTGCCATTTCTGGGACGCAGAAACTTTCATTACTGTCTTAACCTCTAGTGAATTCTTCACTAGAGCTCCAATTAAAAATGTAGACTTGCTTTTCAATGTTTTCTCAATCATCTTTGGTATATTTAGAAATCCTTTACCTGAGTATGTTCTGGGGCAGCTTCCAAGTGAAGAAAAGAAAAAGAAGCAGTTCCTTAAAATCCAGTGGGTATGTGGGTTTTTTTTCTCTTTAGACATGTCTCCTTTTCTTTAAACAGGTCAAAAGACATCACTGACTCAAGAAACTGAACTTCTGGAAACCCTGCTGCAAGAAGTAGAACATCAGGTGATTATGAGGAGATGGAATGTTGTGGTACAGAGATCCCTCCTCAGTTGGCCTTTTTTAACAACTTTTTTTTATTTTGAAACTGTTACTTGATGGATGTTTCTTGAGGGCATCTTTTAATATAAGTGGCCTGGTCAAAACAAGTGTGTCTTCTAGAAATGATGACAGAAGTCTAGAAATAATGACAATATTCTTCTAGAAATAGTGAAAATAATGAAAGGCTAGTACAGGGATTAAGAGCAAGATCATATAGAACTACACAGTTACATATACATTAGTTTAACTTAAATGAAATGCAGAATAGTTGTTGTAACTGTCAGTGTTGGATTCCAGACAACAAAACAACCAAAACCTCAAAGTTCTCTTTTCCATTGTGTTATGGATAAACTGTCTGAAGCTGTGACCACACATGCAGTTTATTTGCTGAAGAGCAAAAGTGGTCAAACCCTGTAGTTTCTGCTGAGCTAAGGATTGTTTTTCTTCTCTTTCCCCTATAGTTACGATCCTGCAGTAAGAGTGAGCTGATTTCCAAAAGCTCAGAGATCCTGATGATGTTCCAGCAGGTCCATAGAAAGCCTATGGCCTCCTTTGTCACTACTCCTGTCCCCCCAGACTTCACAAGGTAAGATCTGCATTTCTCTTCTGCTGTTATATGAATTTGAGAGTCATTTTATTTGTTTTGCTTGTTAAAAATCATGTTTAAAATACCTGAGAGGAGAATATTTGCTTAAATTACTCCTCTGGGTTGCAAGTAGGCTTTGCTGTTCTGCAGGGGAGTCAGGACAGTCAGCTCACCATTTTTTTTTTCTCTTTTACACTTAGTTTACTGCTTTGTCCTTTTTCTCTCATTATTGGGTCATTCAGTATATAATTGCCAAGCTCTCAGGAGATGCCTCTGCAGGTCACCTTAATGTGTAGCCAAAATCACTTGCTAGCACAGTTCCTCATAAAGGAGTGCTGCTGGCTCTGGGCTCTGAGGGAACTGTGCAGAGTTTGTGCTGGCTGAAAAGTGTCTCCAAAACATGGAAAGTAAGAGAAATCTTCAGAATTTCTCTAGCAAAAATCATTTTGGCTGGAATCTCAAAATTGTTTTCCTGATATGTTTTCTGAAGAGAGCAATTAAATGTCTGTCTGAGGAGAGCTGAAATATTCATTTTCCAGTGGCACTAAGGTATCTTCTGCTCTGAAGCACAAACCATTTAAACTTCGTGCTTTCAGCCGTGCAATAGTTTTATCCTTTCTAGAACTCCCAAGGAATCTTATGGTGAAAAACTCACCATATTAAGAGATTATTATCCATCACAGGTAAAAGGGCAAATCCTCTTAAATACTTTGGGTTGCTCTTCCCTTCATCACATAAAATATTGGTTCTGTTGTGTGATCTCACATGGAGAGGTGCTGGGGAGAAGGCCTATAAATGGGATTATACTGCAATACCCAGTGTATTCCTGGTGAATTCCAGTGGCTCTGGTGACCTAAATCGTATAAAATGCTTCTGAAGAGTCCAGAAATTGGATTTTTAGTATCATGTTATTCAGCTCTAATATATTTATTCCTTCCCCCTGCAGTGAACTGGTTCCAGCCTATGACTCAACTACATTTGTCTTGGAAAATTTCAGGTAAGAATGTGTCTTAAATTACTGTGAATATTGGGAACCTTCTTCTGGACATGAGTAGTGTTATTTAAAACACAGAACAGACTCTACAGAGAACTGTTAGTTCTGGACTAAACTACAGGAATTCAATTAAAATTCTGTGGGTTTAACAGATGAACAATTAACCCCACCTAAACTGTTGGCTGAAAAGGTTTTCCATGCTCAAGGCAAACTGCTTATTTTTCCTTTTAAAGAAAGATTGGGCAAGTTTGCAAGGAAAACACATATTTATATGGGCCTCATATGCTGCTCCATGCTCTGTGCAGCAAGAAGGATGGTTCTGGAATGGAAGAGTGCAAGTGCAGCTCACTGTTCAGGAGGGTTTTGCTTTGTTCCAATAGCAAATGTCTTCTTCCTCAACAGCACGTTGCGTCAGCGAGCGGATCCTGTTTACAGCCCACCCCTGCAGGTGTCAGGGCTCTGCTGGAGGCTGAAGGTTTATCCGGTGAGTTGTACCCTCAGCTGGAGTTGTTATCCCATCCCAAACACCTAACCAGGCTTCTCCCATAGGAAATCATCAGTTAGT